AGTATAACATTTTTCTCTCTTTTAAAACAACACTGCAGTTATGAATTTAACAATTATATAGTTTTACACACATTTACTTCTGCTGTCTTCATTAGGTTCCAAAACAGAATTTTTTTTACAATTTAAAAGCGCATATTTAGATATATTTTACGCTGGAGATACCTTTGTCTTTTTAAAAAAAAGTAATAATAAAAACAAATAAATAAATAAAAAATCTTACCTTTACCATAGGAACAGTATAGCAGAAAATGTTGATGGTTTTAAAACCTTGACTTTTAAAAAACCGCTGTATACCTCGAAAATGGTTATCGTAACATGCATAGTCTGGGGTATGGTTCATGCAAACTCTGATCTGGTTCACTTCTGGTATGAAGGCAATCATAGCAAATAATTGAAGTGAACCGCAAACAGAACAACAATCTATCTTTTTCATAACGTTTACATGTGTGTGTGTGTGTGTGTGTGTGTGTGTGTGTGTGTGTGTGTCTTTGTATCACGCACTGTACCTTGGTGACAAGCGGGATTGAGTCAGGGCAAGCATAGTGATAATGTCTGCTTGTCTCTTCCAAAAACAGCTACTGCAGACATCCCGTTATGTCCTGAATGTTTAAAATATATTTGCGACAGATGGACGCGAGTCGCTTTCTATATGTCCAAAACCAAAAGTTTCAGTAAAAGCAGAACAACTGTGATGTGTGGAGTGTGCACGTCTTTGATTTTTTGGTGCTTTGCTTCCATTTCTGTTACCTAGCAACAGCCGTACACACAACAGCAGCTTCGGGTTCTAAAGGAAAAAAGACAGTGTGAACACAAACCAACCGAGAAGGTGGCAAGAGGGGACTAGGCAATTGAACCAAGTGTGAAAGCATCCTAACGCAGGTCACATACCAGAAACACCACACAGCGCCATGCATTTTAGAATTCTAAACATAGGTCTCTATCAGGGTAAACACACAGGAACTGCAAGTCCGCGGCGCCCAGCCACAACTCAGGACACTGTTCATATTATACTGTTCTGATTAGTTTCATTTTAAATAGCATGCAAATGAGCGCGTCTGGTGTGTGATACTTTCAACTGTTTGATAACAACCTAAAATTTGACAAACAGATCAGTGCTGTTGTAAAATCCTGCTTTCACCACCTCAAACTTAAGCCATGCCTTAATAACAACTCATCTGGATTACTGTAACTCTCTCTATCATAGTATTTCTCAGTCTTCTCTCTCGTCTGCAGCTGGTACAAAATGTGGCTGCTAGACTACTCTCTGGCACCCACAAGTCAGTAACTCCAATTTTAGCTGCACTTCACTTGTTACACATTAAATACAGAATTGATTTTAAAATTGTATTATTTGTTTACAAAGCCATCAATAATCTTGCTCCTCAGAACCTTACACACTTGCTCTGTCCATATACCCTCTCTTGTTCATTGAGATCTTATGGTCTTAATTTACTCACCGTGTCTAGAACACGCCTAAAAACGGGATGATCGAGCGTTTGCAGTTCCTGGTCCTAAACTCTGGAACACTCTACCAATTCATATTAGATTTTCACCCTCTATTTCTGTGTTTAAGTTTGTTTTCTGTCTATTTTCTCTGACTTTTAATACTCCTTGATCAGTTTTATTGCTTTTATTTGTCAAATGTTTCTTTTATGTTCTGTTTTCTTCTCTGTCTTTAGTAGTGGTGTCTGTTTACATAGTGTCTATTTACAGAACTTTGGTTGTTTTTAAATATGCTTTATAAAGAAATATTGCATTGTATTGTATCTTTATTTAACAGGTGCTTTACAAAATGATTTAGAATTTTCATTCTTTAATTTTCTTTTCAACTTAGTCCCTTTATTAATCTGGGGTCTCCACAGCGGCCCCAATTTAGCTTACCCGATTCACCTATACCACATGTATTTGGACTTGTGGGGGAAGGTGGGATGATGTAATATCAGTTATTTGTTTCAATGGGATGGATTTTAGCACTCATGTGGTGAGTGACCCATAAGCAGAACTGACCATCTGAAGATTTAATTCCCCAATGCTAAATTGAAGTATTGCATTTAAACTGAAGAATTTAGAACCACATCTTCGACTGAGAAAGCCCATCAGCTCATTTGTTTTATTTGTGTGTGTGTTTGTGCATGTTATGTATTCCAGGCCCTTTAGAGACCACATAGAGGTTCCTGGCCAGAGCTCTACACACTCTCTCATCCTCTGCCCAGGCCTGCAACATCACAACGACAACCCCCGAGCTAGCAAACACAGTCAGGGGTGAGTGTTTATAGGCTACATTTGTTAGGGTTCTCACTGTGCTGCTTAAATATAATATCCATATGTTCAACTAACGCACAGAAACTGTTGCTTGGTAGGATGGTGTTGTAAACAGTGCTCCTGTGATTGGCCGAAAGCGAAGAGCACGTAACCTGCACAGCCAGACAGTCGGTCATTACCAATCCATTCTGAGCTGTGAGTGGGGGATGTAAGTATTCAAGACTTATGGCTTTGTTCAAGTGGAGCGCAAGCTTTCTCCTGGGGTTAATGCCCGCTGTGAATGTGGCTGTCAGAATCGAGCTTCTTTCTGGTTTACACTCGTGAGGCAAAGTCAGGGGTTATTTGCTGCTATTTTTACAAGAAACGGGTTGATTTGTCTTAGGCCATTACCGTCTATTATGGCCGGGAGTCTCCGGGAAGGAGGTGGGAAGCAGCAAACGCTGGCATTCTGCCTAAAGAGAAATCAATGAAACAAATTAATCCTTCGCAGGCCGCACTGACACAGTAATCCATCATTCAGGGGTGCTTTTACACACCGAATCAGGGAGCCAGGGCTGAGGGAGAGAGCCCCAAGGGATCGCTCGCTCGCACACACAGGCACACACATACACACAAGGCAAGACATGAACAGTCTGGTGGCACCCGCCACACAGCTGCAATTCTGCAGCCCAGTGTCTAAAGGGAAAGAGATGAAAGACGTAACATTTTCTAATGGTCATTGTATGGGACGTGTTCCAAGGTCACGCCATAGTCGACTGTCTGTGGTGTTTACTGTTACTTGATTATCAGCAACACCACCTAAAAGCCAGTGAAAAGGCACTGACAGACATGGTACATGATGGAGAGTTGAAAAAGTAGAGAAAGGAAACAACAGAGGCCAAACACATCATGTGGTGTTGGTTTTGCAGGCATATTCGTTTATATAGTTTCAGTGATCAGGCACTGTACATGCAAGCATTTCCTCACAGGTTAAGTGTTATCATCGACAAAATAAGATAAATAATAATACATAAAGGGCATAATTACATTTTCGAATTATTCAGATTGACTGAACATTTTACAATGTCAAAAATCTCTTTTAAATATCTTTAGTTTGCTCCTAAAATCATGTGAAATTGTAATTTTAAGCTTTTGTTATTTCTGTAATGTAATTCACAATGTAGACTGTGTCAAAGCAGATAAACAGATGAAGAATAGAATTTAAAAAAAGAAAAAACAACAACAACAATATTTCAGATTTTGGAAACATTCCACCATGTCAGACAGACAGAAGAGCTATGGTAGAATGCTGGTGTAGTTCTAACTAAATTAATTTAGTTCAATGTAATACTGTTGTCACAGTGGTAAAGAAACAAGTGAAAACTTATTTAATATATAACAATTAGCACTGTGCTTATCTTTCAGTCTCAATTGTTGAACACCATTAAGATTTTGTAATAGTAAACAAAGCAATACATTCCCATAAATAAATAGTCAAACAAATGTAATTCTGCTCCACTTTCTATTACGCAATCATTAATTTTCCTTCAGCTTGGTCCCTTAATTCATCAGGGGTCTCCATAGCAAAATGAACTGCCAAATTATCCAGCATATGTTTTACACAGCGAATGCCCTTCCAGCTGCAACCTAGTACTGGAAAACATCCATACACACTCATTCTCACACTACGGTCAACTTAGTTTATACAATTTACCTATAGCACATGTCTTTGGACTGTGGGGGAAACCGGAGCACCCGGAGAAAACCCACGCCAACATGAGGAGAACATGCAAACTCCACACAGAAATGCCAACTGACCCAACCGGGACTCGAACCAGCTACCTTCTTGCTGTGAGGCGACAGTGCATACCACTGAGCCCCACTTTCTATTAAAGGTTAAGGTTAGGTTAGGGTTAATGATATTTTAGGTTAACTGATGGTTGAGGGATAAGGGTAAACAGTGTAATTACAGGTGTGACTACATAAGTTAAATACACTAATGTATTTAAATGCGAGTACATTGTAAAAGCATTGATGCACACACTACTTGTTTTGTATCAAACTATTAATTAAAATATAAGTGCATTGTAGTTAAAAAACGTTTTATTTATAGTGGGTCCCATATCTGTTGATAAACTACAACATAAATTGAATTACACAATATAATTATAATTAGTAACACTTTACTTTGGTGGTTTGTTTGAGTGTTAGTAGACTGTCTGCTTAATATCTGTTGATACAAACATTCAACAGACATTTAACTGACTATAAGAAACTTTGCAAGTACATGTCAACTTAGAGTAACCCTAACCATTTGACCTAACTTGTAATCTAACGAGAATTAGTTGGCATGTAGATGCAATGTAACTTAAATTCAACAAACGGGCAATCAAAATAAAGTGTGACCTTTTAATTTATATACAATTACGTAAACAATGTCAGCGAAGAAAGTAGACAGTGAGCTAACACTGACTGGTTCATGTGACCTGCTCTAGGAAACATCTCTGTCCTTTGAGAGCTGTACACAATCATATTCCAGACAAAGCGAAACACAGGAAATGAGAAACAGAAGAAAAAATGTTAATATGCACATATGAAAAATTATTTATTTAGAGGCTTTTACATATCTCAATAAACATGATACAGTTTGTGCAGGGAAAAAAAAAAATATATATATATATATATATATATATATATATATATATATATATATATATATATATATATATATATATATATATATATTTATTTATATTCAGTTGATGCACACCTGTGTAGTAGGTAAACCCCAGGGGTTGGTGAAAAAAAAAAAAAAGTACAAGCCTTTAAGGCTAACAAGGTTTAGGCCACTTACCTTTGAGCTCTTTCGTATATATGACTAGCAAAATGGGGATATTTCAGGACAAAATGACATAGATCACAAACATTGAATGCTTAGCTAATGAATATATTTTATAAATGCAGTATGGGGATGAAGAAACAACACATTTCAGTTCACATCTAGTGTCTACTATAAAGCCCTGTACAGTATATTAAGAAAATGCACTCCGTGGATAGAAATGCCCATCTGTTCTCCAGGAATATTCCCCACCGCTTGATTCCAAAAAAAAAAAAAAAAAAAAACTTTCAATAGTAAAATTATAGTATTACCAACAATCTAATGCTTGTGATCCACAAAGAATGCTATGTGACAAACCTCCATGATCATTTCAAAACAGAAAACACATGGTTTCAAATCAAATAAATCCAGCAAATCAGGAACATATGTTGACTGGTGAGCAGTTTGTTTCATCAGTCAATTGATAATAGCTCTATAAACACATTGGCAGACAGGGTTCACCGCATATGTTGTAAATGACAATGCTGTCCATGTAATAGTAGATGAAATCTGACACTTTCGTGGCTCTTAACATCATTGTGTTTTCAAACATAGAATGGACTAACAGTATTAGATGACCCTCTTGTTGCATGCATTTGTCATAATAAATTGATTTTTGTCCAGTGACTAGCTTAAAAGTAAAATATGTTTGCCATCAGGTAACATAATTTGCTTAATAATCAGGTCAGGAAAAAAAAAAAACTTTATTATTTATTATTATTATTATTTGTACTTTTACAAACAAAATAAACTCTTGTTAAATACTTCCAATGGAAAGTAACTGTTTTGGTTATTTAGCTAATAATTTATCATTTATTAAACATTCCTATTCCTAAAATAAGTAATTTTAAAAAGTTGTACTGCAATAGTCTCTCATTGTTTCTTTTATCTCTGTCATTTTGTCTTGCTTCGCAGTCCTTCCTTTCCATGCTGTCTCTTGCTTATATGATGTGCCTAATTTTGTGCTCAGAGGTCAGAGAGTTTACTGCTGACTGGAATTTAAGATCTGCAGGATGTTCAATTCACTGAAGGAAAACATACACAACTTTCCATGCAGGAAGTCCCTCACTAACTGCTGTCCTAACCGTGGGGTGGAGAGGAACGTTTGGAGTGCCACAGCTGCCTATAATCGGTCCTCTTTCACTTTTGAAAACAAGCTGTTTCTCTGATTCTTTTTTATTAAAGCTCTAGTAACCTGACTATATTTATCAAAATCTACTGTTTTATTATGTGAAAAAGGGTCTTGCTTGCTTTGAGGAATGTGTGTTCAGGAATGATGGCTGCATTCTTTCCTTTAGAGACAGATAGAGCAGATAGAGTGACGCTCAATGTACAGTGCAGGAGGGTGACATGTAAACACAGATACAGGTGCTTTTTTACATTCTATGTAACAGTATGTCTGGATAATCATAAGCAAACCATGTGTGTGTGTTTTTCCACCTAAAGCCACATATCAGATCATCTTTGGAAATCTGAAAAAGAAGCAGAATAAAACAAATAGTGCTTAGTTCAAGTTTTTAGTACACAAGAGAAGCAAATCAGTCAGTCAGATTCTTAAGTCATCTGTTCATTGCCTTTATGAAATTAAATGTATCAAAGTTTGAAATAAACAGAACATCATTAGCATATACATTTTACAAGAGTATACTACTGTATAGCCATGGAACAACTTTCAGTTTTTATTTGTTTTTGTTTAGAAATTTGACAACCAGTTTATAAAAGAAAACAAAAAGTTTTCATTTTTAATTCCTCCATGTCAACTTTCTAACATTAAACTCACTAACAAGGACTATTTTATTACCACTAACATCTAAGATTTTAATTTACAAATGTTCCTAGGAAGCTTTTAGTTTACTGATAGGAAAGACATCCTGCAGGCAAATCACAGTGCTGCTTTTGATTTGATTCCTGATTCAGGATTTGTTGTTTAAATCTAAAGAGCAGAAGATCTAGGATTTACTGTGACTGAGGATAGCTGATATTGTTAAAAATATGACTGTAAGTAAGACTAAACAGATACCAGTATGATATGCATTGTTTACATAGACTACACCACACCCGACACAATTAGTTTTGTAGCTAATTCCTAGTTATGAATCTTGAATTAAACAAAGCACATCTTCATCAAGTCTATATAAATATAGTCTGATTATTGCGGGGGTAAATGTTTTGCTGCTTCATTATATATTGTGCAGGTTATGTGATAAGGAAGTTATGTATTAGTTTATTCACTTTTTGTGTTCTATGAATCTGAACACAGTTCAGCCAAAGTATCTGTCATCATAGTTTATGACAAAATTGCAAGTCCTAAACTTTTCTGTCAGAATTTATATCTCGAGCATTGTAGCTCTGCAGGGATTCATAGCTTGACAGATGTTTGGGAAGTAATATTGTCTTGCTTGTTATGTGCTCTGTTACTCAAAACTACAAAAGCAAATGTAAAAGCAGTTAATAATGTATAAAATGATGAAACTGTGCACAGAATGATGATACACTAACAGTTGTAATAGTTAAAATTGATTTTAAAAGTATCTGAGACAGGATTTTGTGATCTGGGCCAATATACGTTTCTGACAGTATGATAGCCTTGGATAAAAAAATATCACGGTTTCACAGTACTGTGTTTACTACTGTAAAATAATTCATTTTTAAATGTCAGTAAAAAATGTCTTTTTTCTGCATTTAAAATAATATATTACATTTTAGGAAACATTTATGAAATTTTGGAACAGTAAACATGTCAGGCTACAAAATTAAATAAACATTTGACTTCTACCTTCATTAGGTTCAAAAACAAAGATTTCCTTACAATGTTAAAAAAAACACTTTAAAAAAACCTTAGAAACGATATAACAAAACATTTTTGCAGTTTTAATACCCTGACTTTTCCTAACCTTGAAACCAGTTATCGTCCGATGCCTAGATCTGAAATAAAGAAACTTTTGATAAGCATCTGATATTAGTGTCAGTCATGAAACTTTTGCTTTAACTCTTTAAAATTTTCTATGTAAAAGTCTGTATGAATAATGTTTTAGTATTTGCTTCAGAATAAGTCTAGTATTTAGTTGCGAAATATCCTCAAACGCTTTTTTTACAGTGCAATATTCTCTCTAGCATTATGCTATGTAAATTACTTTAATGTTGCACTACCCAACTTGCCCACTCATGTACATCTCTACTCTATTTAGATGTTTTTTGCATAATATGTAATTGCTTAGAGCTCTTGTAAACAAAAACAAATGCCTTTAATGCATACTCAAGGACACAGCCAGTGAACCTCTGTCTGATACTTATTCTATTTTTTATTTTTTTTTCCCGTGGTTCTGTTTTCTTGCAGGTCATCGAGTGCCATTTTTAAGCATATTTTCTCTTAAATAAAGGCACACCTCATCATCTACTATGAAAGTCCCCTGAATATACACAGCTGTTCCAGACACTTATGGAGGAAAAAGATTTCTTCACCCAGTGAGTCATCAGTTTTGCTGCCTGATGGAGCTCTAGCCTTAAACAACCTGCTAGTATTTGCCTTAAAGCCCTAATGTGAATAGCTGTTCAGCAAAGTGAAAATTACTCACAACCCAATTTCAATTACCTAATGACTCAAAATCACTTCACAGAGCTTTTTTTCTACTCTTTTTCAGTTTATAAAGAGAATCAAGGTGGAAACTATTCTCATTACTAAAAAATAACACTGTAAAAATTACATGTTAATACTTCAATTTGGAGAGGAGGTAGGTGGATTGTGTGTGTGAGTGTGTGTGTGTGTGTGTGTGTGTGTGTGTGTGTGTGTGTGTGTGTGTGTGTGTGTGTGTGTGTGTGTTTGTTTGTTAGGGAAGGTGATTACTTTCTGTAGTTTGAGAACATTTAAATAATATGCAATCAAAAAAAGAAGAAGAATAGAAGAATAAAAGGGTTATTGTTGTTATTTAATTTTTTTTAAAAAGTATTATTTAAAGTTAGTAATAATTTTAGAGTGCTTAAGTGATAAATAAGAACAAAACGGTATACGGTTTAATGTTAAGTAGTAAACATTCATGAGCTAATATATATTTATTATGGTCTTTTCTCATATCTGTCATATCCATCACTTTACCTCTGACACATCAGTCAACATGTGTACATGCATGTGAATTTGTGTGTGGTACAGATATTAGCATTCATAGCAAAACAAACTATTAACCGTAAAGTAATGGCAAGACTGATTAATTTGAATGTGATGTAAACTGGAATTTGTTTTTGAAACATCAGACATTAGGTCTCTTTATCTGTTCTCCTTCAGCACGTGTACATTATCACCCTGTTTAAAGCAATTAATCTCCTCTGTCTTCCAGCGTGGATGTGCCCGAGACAGACGGAATTCCAATTAAATTCCTGGTGCGGGTCGGTTTAAACAGACCATTATGAATATGCGAGGTGACTCTCTACCTCACACAACAAAAGATCTCCCTCTCAAACACGGTCCCTTATCTTTGCTCTTCTCTACTAAGAATACCTACGCTCGTCTTAAGCGGTGTGCTTATATGCGACTTTGCTCTTGCTTAGACATTCGTTGTAAACGCGATGGCAAAGTGGTTAAGCAGATAAAATTAGGGTGGACCACACTGGCTTCTTGGTCAATCTCTGTTATAAGGGAAACGGCGAGATGTACTACTTTTGTGTTATAAACTAATAGCAATCAATAATGCACGTTTAATTCCAATCCGTCAATATTAAGCTATAAACCATATTACAATAACTTTTTATTGTCTGCTAGGTTGGGCTGCAACTCATAACGCGTTTATCGTACCTTTAATCTCCACATTAGCCTATTCTACAAACCTTCACATACACCTCGCATTATTAGTGCATAGTTTACATGATTTTTCCCTATTAACATCAAGTATTATATATCTTTGATAAGAATATTTCAGATAAATATATATTAATACTAAATATAATGTAAATGTTGAAAGATTTATTAATTAATTAATTGTTTATTGGGCTATATTGTAATAACTGGCATTATTATAATTAGTAAGAATTAAAGCTTATCGTTATCTTCTAAGTAAACCTCCATAAAATGTAAGTGTAAATCCAGGCCTATCACGTGACATGCGCAAACCGTTAATTGTACCTTTCAATGCGAACACTTTTATTCTCGGTTGTATACAATGACTTTTGGGGCAATAGTATTAGCCTACTATTTTTTATTAAATGCCTTTGCTCTGATTAACTGAAAAACGTGAGAAAAATTGGTTTAAATCCACACAAAGAAAAATGCCGTATATCGTTCGAGACTCAGCGAACTATTACTTTTACTTTGATGGCACTTTTGGGAAAACGCGCCTCGGGGATCAAGTACCCTTCTAATTTTGTACACCTGACGTTTCGCTAACGTTCCGTTCTTTCGGAAAACCCAAGTTCGTTTTAATTTAATTTTCAAGTGTTTTCCCTGATGTTTGCCCAGACAATTGAAGTGGCACGCACTTAAGTTCACAACTGTAGTTTTACTGCTATAGGAAATGTTAATTAGGCTATTTAAAATTAATTAAATAAATAAATAAATCTTGTTAGTGCTGTCAGCTTCTTTTCTATACGTCTACAGGGCACAATGACTAAAAAATGGATCTTGGTTCTTTATGATTGCTCTGCTGACAAAGATACGAGTGCTTATAGGTGTCATTGTTGCGGTTTTCGTGTCTTTTGAGGGAATGTCAAAGTGTAAGTTAGACTAATTATTGTTGGTCTGGGCTTGTTTTAACTGCTAACGGATTTATGATCTTGCTCGCTGAGACCATCCAAGGCAATTAGCACATAAGCTCAAAATAGATGAGGGTTTGTGAGCAATAAAACCATTACCTCCTGTATAAACTGACATTCTCTAACTAAACTAACACTCTAACTAAACTAAGCTATGGGCAAATTAATTCATATTAATAATTGCTAAAACTGCTATTTTATCATTAATTCATAATTTGACGATGTATTTAGAATCTTTACAAAGAACATTGCTTTCCTACCTGTCTTTATCCGCCGTGAAGGCCAGCATATCACAGAGCATCAACAGAGCTCCATATTTGCGGTTAGATGATTTCCCTCTTTTCTGTGAATTTTAAACAAAAAAAAGTTGATTAAAATCTTTGATAATCGTATTTTATTTCATCTAAATTTGGTTGGTTTGCGCAAAATGAAATGTGACAACGTGCTGTTTATATGACAAAAAAAGATACTTTTTATGACGGCGAAAGTTAGGTTAAAATGTTTAAATATTATAACCCGGTGTGCAAAAGCATGCTGGTGCTTTTAGGCCTCCCTTATAAAGCTGGACTGACGAAAATGTGGAGTGATTTTGTTCAAAACATTAACTAGTATTTTAAATAGACCATGCAGTAATATTAAGTGGCGTAGTTTTAAGATATTTTCCACATCTCTCCCCACTATCCTTTCCATTAAGAGCGATTAGATGATGTCCATTGAAAGTTGCTGATCCATAAAGAAAATGGCAGCAGATAAAAGGCGATTCTAAGTGACCTTCTCGTCCCTTTCACACCAATCTTAGCCCCAAATAGTTAGGGATCAAATTGAACAAAAGCACCCTCCTCTTTCCTTTCAACTCACCACTACTCAAAGTGACAAAACCCACCATCGCATTGGAGAGGCGCGTATAATGTGTTTAAGACTTTGAGATTATTAGACAGAGGAAATACATCTATGAACGAAAGAGTAAAATGTCTTGCTTTTACGTTAAACTCTTCAAGGCAACACTCAGATATCCTCAAAAGCACATCATAAGAACAATATTTATTTTTCTTTAAAAATAAAAACGTGTTGTTTTGCTTGCAAAGTAGTAATAATATACTTTACATAAAGATTTGGCATATTGCTTTAATGATTACTTTTTCTGTATCAAATAATAATTTTATTAATTTATGGCTTACGTTTGTGCTATTTATTACAATGTAGGTTAACTTATTTGTACATACGACATAAGTGTTAAATACTCAAGGTAGGCCTGCTATTCAGCAGCACAAACAATCCAAACGTCTTTACAATATAGCATTTAATATATACACTACAAAATCTTAGAAATGTAGTGAAAATTGCGTTTACTTTTACTTCTCTACGTACTAAATGCAAGCAAACAGAAATGATATCCCTTAGATTTATTTTAATCTCAATATGACTTTAGTTAAATGCAACATCAGGTGTCTAAAACGAGGAAAATCAAATATAGTTTATCCCTGCTGTGTCCAGTGTTTATACCACCTAACCCTAGCGTATTTACATCCGTGCTTACTTTGTAGGAGGTCCGCCATTCGTGGGATTTTATTACTCGAACTGCTCTTCGAGAGCATGCATTATACAAAATGGTATATTTTGTTTATTGCTATTTTCAACGAGGTGCACGTACATTAAGAAACATAACATCATATTACAAATTGCATGAGGTGCTTTGAAGCAATTTATTATCATCACTTTTATTAGCATTGTTGTTGTTGTAGAAATTTTATCAAACGTGATAATATAGCACAAAGCGTACCTCTTAAACCATCACTGATTTCAAACAGGTAATATATTGGTACTTGTAGCATCATCTAAATAGTTAGCAATTTTTCGGTCATTGTTAGTTTATGGTTAACCTTTATATAGTCACGTGAATCCACTGCAACAAACTTTTCAAACATTAGTTTACATGTTATTTTAGTTCATGTCTGTCAATAAACGTTCATTACAGCTCATGACAAATGCTTTTGATGATTAATTTGCATTAACTTCTGGCCTAACTCTAAAATAAATATGAGAGAAAAAAATAAATGCATACAAAATAAATAATAGTTAATCATATATAGTGAATGTGTTTTCTATATTCTTATTTTGCAAAGCTTTAAGTATGTTTATATGTAATTTAAAGAAAGACATGAGCAGTCATTGGGGTAGACATAGTTGTAAAGCATTTTTTAGATCTGATTTAATTGCTTCATACTTACTTTATTGTTTATCGGTTTATACTTATTTTATCAGTTTTTCCAACTTTTCAGAATTGTTAAGTGTAGTACACGAGTCAGTCCTACTTTATTCAGAACAGGTCTATCGTATAATCGTCCTTTTAATCCGTTGACATTATCACTTAGACAAACAGACTGCTATCGATCTTCCCATTACGAGATCATGCAAGACGAATAGCACAGGTGAAAAGCCACTTCTTAAAGTCGAACGTTCAGTCATGTTCAGAATCACTACATTCTTAGTGTTCCTCTTGTTTTTTTCTCTTTATTTCAGATTGAGTAGACTAGTGCAAGTGATCGACGGAATTCGGTCTACCGATCGCCCGTGGACTATATTCATATTGCTTATACCTGACAGTCTAACGTTATCTGTTTGATAGGTTTTTATATTTAAGTTTGATACAAGTTTACACACATTGCTGTCTATATCTATATGAATTGCAACTAAATTTGGGATTAAATAAAGTGTTAAAAGTACCTACCTTTCGAACACGGACCAAACTGAGAAATCACCGATCCTAAGTAGCTAATACCAACCAGTCGCTGGGCGCTCGCACTTTGAATGTCCAAGTGTCCACTTTACCGTTTCTTCAGTGCTGTTTTCATGCGTGCCTTGTGTTCCCATTCGCTGTCCCTCTCCCTCTCTCCCCTCTCGCTCTCTTCCCTATCTGTGGAGTAAAACCTTGATGGTACACTTACAGAAGTTTCTCTTTGTTCGTTTTAATCTTATTCGTTTCACCTTTGCAATGAACAGAGGACAACAGCGTGTGTTTCTATGGATCTGTTTGTGGAGGGACGGAGAAGCTCCGCGGTCGAGTTGAAAATAAGCTACCTTTTTGTAACTAGAGGGTTTCTTGAACGGTCGGGTATCGGGGTTTTGTTTCCTCTTAACTTCACTTACACAGTTTTGGACTTTGATGCATTGTTTGTACAAAAAAAAAAAAAAAAAAACTTATGGTAAAAATAGGTGATAGGTGATAAAGGCTACTAAAATATTTATTAAATACTTGAATTTTAAACATTGCTGTTTTGTCCGCTAATAAGAGGCCAAAAAGCTTTTCTCCGAAAACAAAAATAAAATAAGCATCTCAAGTGGAGACATTGATAAAAAATAAAAATAAACTTGATGCTAAACAAGTTCCTGCAAAACATAATCAAAATACTTTTAAATCTGATGTTTTTAATAGCCTACTTCACTAAAAAAAATCAGAAACATTCATCCCACCGCGCAATTTGTCTACGAGTTACATTTGGAAACATGCTTTAAATGACAATAAATTACTAATTTTTCATGTCGCTGTAATTGTCTACTGTACGCTAGATGGCAGCCCGATCCAGACATTATAAGTCTGTACAGCGCAGCCTTCAGCATTCATGCTCAAAAAGCCGGTTTCCCTGCGCATTATACCAAAACTTCCCTCGTTAATAAATATGTTAAAACATGGATGGATCCATCGATGTATTTTTCTATTTTTCAATATCATTATACTTTGATTCCTCTTTTGTGCCCTGGTTTACTGCTTGATATGTTTCCTATCACTGAGAAAACATTCCGTTATAGCCTATACTGATATATCCCTCTAGTCAAACTAGTGGTAGTCATCGCGCTTCCCGGTGCTTTTTAATTTAATCGTTGTGCTGAGGATTAAGTGTAATATTGACACGTAAAAGCGAATTTTATACATCGATACGCAATTTCGAGTCGGTGGGCTATATCGGTCTGTCAAATTGCGTTAAACATTAATGGGACCTTCATAGTTCAAATCTGGACGCCGTTACGGTGTTTTTGTGTAATTAAGACTAGGGCTTTGAACAAAACACTTTCAACTTTGTGAGGTTCGCACCAGTCCTTTTGCCTCACACGCATTTGTTTATTTTTCACGTGCGCGTAGTTCGCTCATTGCTTTCATCCCGCTTTTCGCCGCTTCTTTCTGGGGTTTCTTCCTCTTTTTTTGTGACAATAGACGGTCCATTCTAATCGGGTTTCAAAGTAAATAGCAGCGCAGGGGCGAGAGCAATGTAAATTGTGCTTGTCAGAGCCCTCAGTCGTAGGTAGCGAGGAGCGAGGACTCTAACCAATGGAGTGAAGGAGGCTTGGCTAACCTTAGCCTCCCATTTTCTCTCTCCCCCCTCGATGCAGGGTTCTGACCAGTCAGTCGCCTTTGATTATCAGTTGCCAGCAGCCCCTCTCTTGGCTCCTTGACACGAGCACCATATAAGGCGCAGCGATCTCCATAGAAACGTGTCAGTTTCAATAGTAGTGTCAAAGTTCACTATATACAGACATTCGCGCAGATCTCCGTTTCGGAAACATTGCTCCGCTGGTACTCCCGTTAAAACGCATTCTTTTTGGGTCTCTGCTTCTTACATATTCCATTAGTTGCTTTTTTTCTTTTCTTTTCCTACTGGAGAGGTGAAACTACATAGCCAGTCGGGCGACGTTGCTTTTTTTCGCTGGACCAGATGAGCTTTATTCATGAACATAGATAGAGAAATCCGTTCTTCAGTGTTTCCTCCTCTCCAACCGCGAAGACGGAGAGAGGAGCAAGGAAGAAAAAAGAGGGGAATTTATTTTGCACAGCACTTTGGATCTGCGGTCCACCAGAAAGCTATTATTTTTGCTTCAACGTGAAGATTTTGTTTTTTACTGCGGTATTTTTTAAGAAAACTGTTTTTTTTTATATTACGTCTGGGATCGCTTTCTTCATTCACGATTGGGTTCCCGAATGGCTGACTGCAATTTACCTTGGAACTGGCCTCCCGACAACTGCATATCCTGATCGGGTGCCTTTCTATCGACTCCGGTATTTTGAATGTATTGACCATTTTCTGCTTCTACTTTTTTCCCTATGAGATTGAGTGCTCCGATTTGAATTCGCGCTGCCGTTCGTCCAAGACTTCCCTTTTCCCTGCTCCGATATCCGAGCGACCAGTTCGCTTGAAAGCACTTTTCGGGCCCGAGATATGGCAATGGTAGTTAGCGTCTGGCGAGATCCGCAGGAAGACGTGGCTGGAGGACCTCCGAGCGGCCCCAATCCAGCAGCTCAGCCGGCGAGGGAGCAACAGCAGGCGGCGTCAGCGGCACCACACACTCCGCAGACCCCCAGTCAGCCAGGACCTCCGTCCACACCAGGGACGGCTGGCGACAAGGGCAGCCAGAATTCTGGACAGAGTCAACAGCATATAGAATGTGTTGTTTGCGGGGACAAATCAAGCGGCAAGCACTATGGTCAATTCACCTGCGAAGGATGCAAAAGTTTCTTCAAGAGGAGTGTCCGAAGGAACTTAACATATACATGTCGTGCCAACAGGAACTGTCCTATTGACCAACACCATCGTAATCAGTGCCAATATTGTCGGCTGAAGAAGTGTTTAAAAGTGGGCATGCGGCGGGAAGGTGAATATATTTTTCTGAATACATCACACTTGCTACACAAACAGGTTTATTGTTTAAAGCAAGGTTATGCAGACCTCGCAATATTAATATGCAAACGCAAAATACTATCGTATTGAATTATTGCTAAAGAGTGTCAGAGGGCGCGTTTGTAAATACACGCGTATATATGCAAGATCAGCATGGATCTATTATAGTTTTTTTTACATAGATTGGCAAATATCGTATGCACCAATTTCAACTCGCAAATAACAATATATATTATAAAGTCACCCAGTAAACACTGTGTGTGTCAAAAAGAAAGATAAAGATTAAGTGTGTAGCTAAGCCTACGTGCTTTTACGTGTGTGCTGAAAGACGAAAAAGCTAACTACGTTCACATGCACATATAGTGTACCCTATTGAAATAAGAAGCTATAGCCTATGTTTATCTCTCGAAGTAAGATGTACAAGTCTGTTTTCACGCCGTAGCCTAGAGTAAACGTTCAGAGAGGCCTGTCTGTCCCCTCTCAGCCTAAGCTGTATGTGAACAATGGCCTTTACAACTTACACTCTAGTCTTAATAACGAGTAGTGCGAAACTGCTATTGATAATATTTAGATTCTTTTAAAAACTTAACACGTGCCCTTTGTCCTGTTTATTTTTATTCATTTATTTTTTACTTGAATTTAATAATGAAAACAAACTCTTCGTACTCGTTTGTGGACATTTTCACTGTTCCAGAGTTAGTACTCATTATTAAATTGCCTGGAAACGTGTTACTACACGTAAACCTACACATACGTATATTACAAGTATTACATATAATATTATTACAGTATAGCATTTATAATCAGACAGATGTCAGTGGCAGTGAACTAATTCTACTGAAGTCGAGATTTAAACCCGTTTTGTCCACTGTAATGTTTGCTACATGCCTATAAAACTACAAAATAACATTTCAAACGAATTTTCATGTGCGTGCGCGTGTTTGTGGAGACATAAATAGACACAAACACAGCGAGTGAGAGAGAGATAGCTAGCGTTTGTATGTCTCCATATTCTGTCCATATACAAAGGTAAACATTTACCATCCAATAATAAATGAGGTTAGTAGGGATACAAGGACCATGTGAAAAGATTTTTCTTCGAAACGCAATGCCTCACAAATAAATATTAAATATTGTGCAATTTTGTTGCAATTTCGTATATGATAAACAGCAGTCTAGACTGCTCATGCACTCGAAGTAAAGCTTCCACATCAATGATGTTTCTCAGTTCTGGATGTACATTTCCTCTCCCTTTCTTTCTTTTTGTCAGCGGTTCAGCGAGGAAGAATGCCTCCAACCCAACCGAACCCGGGCCAGTATGCGCTAACGAATGGGGATCCTCTGAACGGTCATTGCTATCTCTCCGGATACATCTCGTTACTACTTCGGGCCGAGCCTTATCCTACGTCTCGCTATGGCAGCCAGTGCATGCAGCCCAATAATATTATGGGGATCGAGAACATCTGTGAGCTTGCAGCTCGTCTGCTCTTCAGTGCAGTGGAATGGGCAAGGAACATCCCTTTCTTTCCCGATCTGCAGATCACCGACCAGGTGTCATTGCTCAGACTGACATGGAGCGAGTTATTTGTGCTAAACGCGGCTCAGTGTTCCATGCCCCTACATGTGGCCCCACTGCTCGCCGCTGCCGGCCTGCACGCCTCGCCCATGTCGGCGGATCGCGTCGTGGCCTTCATGGATCACATTCGTATCTTCCAGGAGCAGGTCGAGAAGCTCAAAGCACTGCACGTCGATTCTGCTGAATACAGCTGCATTAAGGCAATAGTGCTCTTCACGTCAGGTGAGTGTGTGAGACGAGGCCTACTCGCAGACATAAGGGGCATTGCAATATGGTACGAATAAGCTTCGGCATCGAAGCTATATCTCACTAGTGGGTCTTAAGCTAGCTTTTTATTTTGGTATCTCTTAGCGCACAATTAATGACGTGTGATTGATTAAAAGCCATTTGCCAATATTTAATGTTTAATGTTATGCAAAATGTCACGTTACTGTTATTAACGCAGTTACATTTTGCATTACTGGTGCTTGCCATATATATATATATATATATATATATATATATATAATTCAATATATAATTCTATATGTTTAGAAAGTATTTAGATATTTTTAGACAATTAAATGTAGATATTGTTAAGAATATTTTTTTCTAAATCAGCTCAAACAGTTAAGTTGACAGCTGCACAGGGCACCACAGTGTGCATACACAAATATAGATCTGGGGCCCTGTCTATTGCGACAAGTTGACTACAGAGGCCTCTGATATTAATAATTGATTTTGAGCTCATGTTATATTGCAAAATCAGTTTAATCAAATTCGCAAAACTATTCATTAGACTATTGCCAGTCTATTTAATGACAGGGTAATTTATAAAATAGTCTTGGAAAAAAAGCTAAACTCCTACTATTTTATACCATCACATTGATCGACACTAAATTACCCTCACACTCCAAGCATTGCAATTTATATTTACAATATACTCTCTTGTTCCGGCAACGGCAGAATATAATTTATATATTATTATATCATTTCAAGCAATGTCTAAACACACTGTTACAATATTAATGTTACTTTGCATGTTATTCGTAGGTATCTATTTAATTGCATTGTAATTTTATGTATAATGTAGCACAAATTTATTAGTTTACTACTTGACAAACAAAATAAATCATTTAGTACCTGCATTTCTTCAAATATTCAATAGAGGCATATATATATATATATATATATATATATCCCTTGGGAGAAAATAAGATGAAGCGTTCAAATTAGTTTTAGTAGGCCATGGCCAGATGGATACTTATTGCATTGATTTTCAAAACTTTGCGTTATTGTTGACTAGCATATGTAAGATATACATTTTTTTACGTAAAAAACAATTGTTTATGTTTCAATCATCTAATCTTTTCCACCGAAATGAAAAGTTGTATTTGTTTCTTAATGACGTCAGTCTCATACTAAACTGTGCTTACCCATCCTAGCAATGTGTTGCTTACAAAGCCTTCACATTTTAAAAGGTTTGAACTTGGTAACGAACCAGTACACTTGATAAGAAAACGTCTAGTCACTTTGCGATAAATCAGGTTTTTCTAATCTGTAAGAAGTGAAATCTGGTTTGTTGGCAGGCCGAAATGTTGCATACAGTTTTGAACTTCGTGTATATTTAATATTTAATAATATGCACAGTTGTTTCTAAAGTGTAAATCGTTAAGTAAACTATTAATAAAAAATATCCACTTACGAAACAAATAACTTTATATTTTGCTATTTTCTCTTCTTTTATAGCAGTGCGTTATGCACATTCTAGCCGCAGCTGAAAGTGGCCCATGAGGTCACATTACTAAGAGATTTTAGCAAGGACTTAGCTCAGTTCAGAAGTTCAGAAGGTTATTGTATTTGACCGCAGTGTGTTCTTGTCCAGTGCAATTAAGTTCATTCTCCGATGCATGTTGCACTCCAT